ATTTATTTTCTTTTTTTGAGTTGGAGTCTCACTCTGTCACCCAGACTGGAGTACAGTGGCCGCTCCTGGCCACCACAGCCTCAACCTGCTGGGCTCCGGCGATCCTTCCACCTCAGCCTTCCGAGTAGCCAGAATTACAGGAGCACGCTACCACACCCAGCTAATTTTTTGATTTTTATTGCAGAGATGAGGTCTCACCTGCCCAGGCAGGTCTCGAACCCGTGGGCTCAGGCAATCCACTCACCTCAGTGTAACATTTATTTTGATGCTTTCTCAGAGACCAGCAACCTACTCGGTCTCCAAGGAAAAGGAATACTTTTGCAGAGTAGCAAGCATATGGGATCTGGTTATCAACCAACATATTCTTATTTGGGGCATAGAACCTGTCTGCCTCTCCCAAATGAAAGGAACTTCAGCCGTTAACCAAGCGTGGTAGCTTGTGCCTACAATCCCTCTACTCCGGAGGTTGAAGAGGAAGGATTGCTTGAGCCCAGGAGTTCAACACTGCAGCGAGCACCACTGTACTCCGGCCTGGGCAACGGAGGAAGATACTGTCTCAAAACAAACGAACAACTCCTGCCCCTGAAAGTCCTAAGGTTAAGTTTCCTTTCCATAGTTAAACTTTTTTGTGTATTACATCAGTAAGACTCTTCAAGCCCAGATCTTTCCTGTAGATTTTAGTTTTTTGTTAATTGGTGTTCCCTTGAGATAGCATCACTTACAAGGAAGCAATTATCTGAGAAAAGCAAGGTGCAGAAGACGATATATAAACTTCTATGCATCTGTAAGAAGTCACAGGGGAAGGGAATACAGTATACTCGCTCATATTTTTCAAAAAGAAACAATGGTAAGATAAACAAAAAACTACTAAAAATGGTTTCCTAGAGGGAAGAAAAGAATAAGGAAGATAAAAAGGCAGAAATAGAAGCAACACTTCTCTGAATACTCCCTTTTTATTGTTTTGATTTTGCTTCCATGTGATGTTATACATAATTGCAAAAGTATAGTTATTTCAAAAAGAAAAATAGAAGGCCATTGATACAAAAACAATGATTTTAGGTAACAAAATGTATTACTTTCACTGAAAATACCTGGTAGGATATACACCTTTTTTTTTTTTTTTTTTGACTTGGAGTCTCACTATGTTGCCCAGGCTGGAGTGCAGTGGCATGCTCACGGCCACCCCAGCATCGACCTACTATGCTCAGGTGATCCTTCTGCCTCACCCTTCCAAGTAGCCGGAACTACGGACACGCGCTGCCACGCCCGGCTAATTTCTTATTTATTGTAGAGCTGAGGTCTCGCCAAGTTGCCCAGGCTGGTCTCGAACCTGCAGCTCAGGCAATCCACTCGCCTCAGCCTCCCAAAGTGCTGGGATTACAGGCTAAGCCACCGAACCCGGCCTAATATACACATCTTAAAAGCAAAAAGAATCACATAATTTTCTTAAATTGCATTCAGTGCTAGTGGTTCTGTGTTATTATTCTGACACCATACGTACATTGTAGGATACAACTAATAAGCAATTAAGTTAATGTCTCTAGGAGTCAAGATTCATTCAATGAGCCCATGTATGCCTCCTGACGTGATACCCTAGGAAGAGTGCACACAACATCCCTATGCAATATTCTTCACACACACACACAAACACACGCACACACACACACACACACATACACACACACACACACACACACACACACACACACACACACACACACACAAAGTGTCAGAGGGGGACCTGAATGAAATCAAGCTTCTAGATTTAACTACCAGCTGGCAGGAAATACAGGAAACAGAGCAAGTGAAATGACACCAGAGGAAACAATTAGAGTGTAAGACATTTTACAGAACAAATTATGTTCCCTTCAGTAAACAAATCACATGGGAAAAATAAGAAAGCAGAAATGCTATCGATTACAAGAGATATTAAATGCATAACAACCAAGTGAAATATGTGGACTCTGTAAGAATTCTGATTTGAACAGTCATATTTTAAAAGACATTTTTGAGACAATTTGTGAAACCAAATATGGAATATATATCTGAATATAATCAGCACTAGATGATATACTGAAATTATTGCTATTATATAAGACAATGGTACTGTGTTTATATTCTCTAAAAATACCATTTCCTATTAGACACGCACACTGAAGTATTTGCTAGTAAAATAATACAATTTCTGAGATTTGCTTCCTAATACTCCAGGAAAAAGGGAGAAGGAGAGAATAATTTAACAGGATTGACAAAATGATGATTATTCAGGCTGGATGATGGGTGATCATTATGGTATCCTTTTTATTTCTGTATTACGTTTCAATTTGTCCTAATAAAAAAATTTAATGTTATATATCCCTTCTCTACTTGTAATTAGTAGGCCCATCTGGAGATTTCATTTCCTAAGAAATGAGAATCAAGTCTGTAAAGTTAGTTTCCTCCTTACAATGGTTCATTCTTTCAACCTGGAACATTTGAAACAATTAAAGTGCCTTTTTCTCTACTGTTACAAAAACTGTTCCTACTCTTTTTTTCTTTTTTTAACTATTTGGCTTACTCACAGTTTCTTGCATTCACTCTTCTCTAAGACATATTTATACTTTATAAATAAACATATACAGGCAGTCCTCACTGTGCAGAACTGTGTGGTATAAGACTAAAATCCTGCAAAGCAATCTTAACAATTAATGACAAAAATTACAATTGTTTGTAACTTTTAAAATTTTTTAACAAAAAATTAAAAATCCTCTTACTGTCAGTTATGACTGTATAGGAAACAGTACAGGAAAGGCATATGAAAAAGAGTAAAACCAGTATTTATTTAGTATACTATACTTTTAAAATTATTATTATTTGGAGAAATGGGGTCTCACTATGTTGCCTAGGCTGGTCTCAAGCTCCTGGGCTTAAATGATCCTCCTGCCTAAGCATCCTGCAAAGCTGGAACCATAGGTGCATGCCACTGTGCCCAGTTTTAGTGTACTATACTTTAAAATATCAGAAACATTGAGGATAAAAGTGTTTTCTTTCTTTATTTAAAAAAAAAAAAAAAGAGCTCAGTGACTCGGCCTGTAATCCCAGCGATTTGGGAGGTCGAGGTGAGTGGACTGCCTGAGCCTGTGGGTTTGCGACCAACCCAGGCAACTTGGTAACTTGGTGAGACCTCATCTCTACAATAAATCACAATTTAGCCGGGTATGGTAGTGGGTGCCTGTAGTTCTAGCTATTTGGGAGGATGAAGCAGAAGGATTGATGGAGCCTAACAAATCGACACTGGAGTGGTCGTTGAGTGTGCCACTGCACTCCAGTCTGGGCAATGGAGTGAGAATCCAACTAAAAAAAAAAGGAAAAGACAACTCACTATTCTCAGAGGGTGAAGGAGAAGTGAATTAATCTAGATTCAACCTAGGATGAGACCTCTAACAAGCAGAGGACACCTGAAGAGTCACATTTTCATGTCTAACCTTATCAAATACTTTCCTTATTGTTTCTCCTATTTCCAACTTATGACAGGAAATGGGCATCTATCTGCCTTAGCATACTGACATACTTCAGAGTTTGGATCAGCTTCCAACATTTTATCCTCTGTGTTTGCAACATCATGAAATACTTCTAAGAATTCCTTTCATAATAAAACTTTAGGTTTGAAGCAGTGTGATGTCTCTTGAAGTTTTGTGCAGTTTTTAAATAATTCCCTTCTGGGCTTCTAGCTGGACATTGGACACAGCCTGATTTTGTATTTGACAAGGTCCCTGTCATAATATTGATGAAGTTTACCCCTGTAGGTCAGTTGTTTTCAACAATTTTAGCATCTTTTAGTAATGCTTTTCAAGATATTCTCAAAGAAACTACAGTGAAAGCAAAACTATTCTAGAGAGTAAGGGTGGGGATGGAGGACCCAGAATCTCATACTCTGAGCCTCCCCCTCAGTTCCTGAGGTTGCCTCAAACATCTCCAAGAACACAGTTTGCATCTACACTTCATAGTAGATCAAAGGTCTGTGGTTAACAAAGTAGAGTTAAGAAACCCACACACCATGATGCAGATCAACTAGGATGGGACATATGGGTTCTGCCCAATGAATTGGTGCTTCCAAGTTATCCGAGGCTTTGCAGAATCATCCCAACCCTCTATTTTTTTCTGATGCAGACCACTGATTCAGATCCAGAAGCTTTAAATTGTTCCTAGCTCTCAGCACCCACAATGAACATGGCTTTGATTTCACTTTTCTACTCCCACTTCACAAGAAACTCCCAGTCGCTGCCTGGGCTTACCCAGACAACAGCCCTGGAATCAAGAGGTATTACACGCTGTCCCACACACACCTAATTTGTGCTAGCATTTCTTTCTTCACGTGCCTTTTGTTCTTTTAGTTTCTCTTACACACACAGTCTTTGTTCTAAAGTCTCCATTGTCCTGAATTACTTCCTGGCACTCTTTACGGGATCAAAACCAGCTGCTGGAGCTGGTTGTTCCTTTCAGTAATAATGAAGCCTGGCTTTTAAGTTAGGTCTCACTAAGGTTCTGGCCATGACTTTATAAGCACAATTCCCTGTATCCTAATCTGAGAGGGCAAATGACAGAAAGAAAGGGCAGGGGAAACAGAACACAGAAGAAAGCAGATTCAAAAGGAAAGAAAACATCCTCCTCTGAAGCTTTACATAATGCTATTTTTATTTTTATAAAGATGCAAGACAGGAAAAGAAGGAGAAAGATGAAAGAGGGAAATGTAACGGAAACATTTTATCAGAAAGAGAAGAAGCAAATGCCCATCTAAATGCTTATTGGAAATTTGGAAAAGTCACTATGAGTACAGGTAGGTGTGTGTGTGTGTGTGTGTGTGTGTGTGTGTGTGTGTGTGTGTGTGATATTCCTTCACTTCTCTGGGTGCCCCCACACACACCAAAAAACAGTCTGACTTCACATCTACCATAAAATATATGATCTATTTGGAAATACCAATCAAAACTTCAGATGTATATTTTAAAATTCTTGATTACCAGCTGATCATCCAGTCCAAAAAGTTGTTCCAGGTAAGTTTCTGACAATCTTTGAAATTTTGGTTTCATCGAAGGATCAATGCACATATCCCTTTAATAAAATCATAAAACACAGTCAAAATTAATTTCATTTTATAGTAGTTAGTTCCATAATTAAATCAATGATTCTTGTGAGTGGAGTGAAGGAGAGGAGAAGGAAGAGACATTTCCCATTGGGAGAAGCAGATCAGAATCACTTGAAAGACTTTTTCAAACTACCACACCAAGAACCTGCTGTGCCCCCCTCAAGGAGGACGTGCTTCACTTTCCTCCTTTCCAACTTGAAATAAACCGGCCCTATGAATACATGCTCCTAATGAAAGTACACCATGTTTCTCGAGTTGAGAACCTGTGAGCAGATCATTCATGTTTGTCTTTGGGACTGAAAAGTCTATGAAGGGATTCTTTAACAATCTGGATATTAGAAGCATTCATTGACAAGACCTTATTTTGATGCTACACAATTAGTGTTTTATCTTCAGAATAAAAGGTTTCCCTATCATAAATCAAACCAATACTTACCAAAGAATACTTTGCAGACCATTTTCAATTATAGTCATGATCATTTCCTCTAAATATTTCAGTGGGTCCTCAGGACATGTAACAAGTATACCACATAACAGTGCCTGGAAAGAAAGGAAAAGCATCAATGTTTCTGAATTTACAGGTTTACAGCAGATAGGCCTTTTCTCATACAATTAAGAAGTCAAATAATGTAGCCATTTTTAAGTAAGCATGCTTCTCTGCATGACCCCTGCATTTATTTCACGTTGAAATTTTGCTAAAGTCAAACAAAAATGTAGCTTACCTTGCCTCTTTCTAAAAATCCATTATAAATCACACATTATAGTCATTGTACCATGATTTACATTACATGAGGAGTAAGTATAGCCAATCTGAAGACACAATTGTGATGCTTTAGTTCAGTTGTTTCTACCCTTTTTAAGTAAGAGAAACCTGTTTTTTTTTCTTTTTAAGTCAAAAAATTCCTCAGACCCAACCATAAAAGAGATTGAGAAAATCCACCATCAGTGTCTACTATGAATTCAAGAACTCTTTTTTTTTTTTTTTATGGTTTACCTTCTTTATTCCACTATGTTTAACTATTGTGGAGGTTTAGAGAATCACAACACATCTGTGGCAAGGGTGTGCAATCCAGTCTCTTAAGGCAGGTCTCTGTTCCTACACCGGGACAAATGGAACCAGGATCACCGTCTGGAGTCATGTGCTATGGTCTGAATAGATGTCTCTAACATCATGTCACTTTCATTCATTTCGATCTCAAAGGTTTCTTCAAGGAAGGTCTGGAATCCGGAGTTTTCCTTGAGGTTTCCAGTGGTGCAAGCCCCGTTTCTTCTGCAGTCTGTTTTTCTACTTCAAAATCCCTGAAATCCCACAGAGGTGAAATAATGTTTTTTAGTGTCTTCATTGTATGCACATCAAAGTCATAACATTTTAATTTGTCTTTAATGTCTGCTCCAATATAAGTTTCAGAGTCACTGATGTACATTTCAATGCAATGACCAAGCATTGTAACAGAAAATGTATCTTGCCTGAGACCAAGGGCTGTGTGGAAATAGTCCACAGCATTTTCAAAGTTGCCCATCAGACTGTGAATATATCCAATAGCAGAATAGGTGGACGCATTCTGAGGAATCAACACCAACGCCTGATGGTGGCAATCTAAAGCTTCTGCATACTTTTTAAGTTTTCTGCAGACATGCCCCAAGTTGTTCAACAAAGCTTCCCATTTGTTAACTGTTACCTCATTCCCAATTGCTTTAATTTTTTCCAAAGCATTGAGAAACCATTTTTCTGCTGTTTTACATTCTCCATTTTGAAATGCAACCACGCCAACCTCATGCATAACAAAAGGTGCGATGCTCAGGGCCTGGCTGAAGAACCTTTCAGCCAGTTTTGAGTTATTGGTCAAACCACATTCTAATCCGATATACTGCATTGGAAAATGACACTCTTTCATCAGCTGTGCTGCTGTGAAGTAAGCAGCCATCACTTGGTCATGCTCACTTTCCACCGCAAATGAATGGCTGTAGGCTACTCATGCAGGCCCATAGGTCTTCTCAAGCATCGTAGCTTTGCTGAGATACCTTCTGGCATGTTCATTTTTATGACCAACCATGAGATAATAACATCTCACTGCAAACCAAGACACAGGATTACTAAGATAAAAATCCACCAGTTTATGAGAAAAATAGAAAAGTTCATTTGCTTTATTCAGCTTCACAAGTGTCCCTATATGGACAGGTAAACAATTTGCATGGAAAGGATCTTTCTCCATTACTACAGAAGTAAGCTTGTAGCACATTTTAAAATCACAGTTATAATAATGCCTCTCAGCTAAAGACACTACCACATCCAGATTCTCTTGCAAGACATCTATAGACTCAGGGATGACAGTTTCACTAGACTTACTATATTTTTTTAATTTGTTCTCAAACAGAAAACGCAGCAATTCCTGTTCTTCAGTACAGAGTTTGCCAAGAGGTAGCGACTCAAGAGGTTCTTTTTCTTCTTGAGCTGTTAACATGTGGTGTAATGTTAAAAGATCAAATGTTTCGAAACAGTAGACAATGAGTTTCAATGCTTCTTTGTAGCTATAAGTAGCCAGGGTTTGGTTATCCAGGGCATCGTCGATTTTCCCTCGTAAAAGACAAATAGAACTCTTTATTGAAGACTGTGACATTTCCCAGTCACTGGAGGAATCCTTCAAGCCACTTTCATCCTTCGAGTATTTTTCAAATAACCTTTTGTTGATTGGTTCCTCCATATCAAGAATATCAAGTGCCTGCTGGTGCTCTTTTGAAGCATAATGGCATCTAGCTGCAAGATAACGACATGCTTCATACATTTTGTCCAGTTTTCATGACCGAAGTGCGTGAGTTGCTTGTCGGTGACCTGCACTGACCAAGGGGGGGTTAGGACCGCACCGGTGAATCAGAACGGAGAGAAGAAACCACACGGAGGCAGCTCTTCTGGGAACAGTCTGGCCAAGACTGAAGCCAATTTTATTCAAACTTTTTCCAACTTATATACCATTTTCTATAATCTCCAGCAGTGTGACAATTACTTGCTGGGGGCGTACAAATTCATTGATGTGTAACGCGCTTTACAAATCATGTACCATCACAAGACTTTCAGGTTCCCAGTGAACAATTACAATTCCATGATGTATGAATCACAGGTGCACAATTTCAATACAGATTGTTCAAAATGTTTTCCACAATGTTCAATAAATCATTCATATTATACTCTAAGTTCTAAACCCTGATTAAAAAACTTTCCAAGTTAACTCTAAGTTCAATCCAATTTTACTAACTTTTAATATTTTTGACGATTAATATTATTAACTTAACACTATACTATAATCTATAAGTTTACTTAAATGACTTAATTTTATACTATTTATTTTTATAATTCTTATAACCTACTACATTTCTATACTGCCCTATGATTGTATATTAATTACCTATGAACTTATCCTTAACCTAAAATTTTATCACAACTTCTATAAATTTCAAATATCTAAACTATTATCTTTTATACTTTATTAATTACTTATCTTATAATATCATGTCTAAATTCTAATACAACTATTATCCTACTATAATCTATTACAAACCTTATCATTAGTACTAATAAGTATAAAAATTATGAACTTACTCTATGTTCTATAAAACTTAATTCAATGACATTTTAACCTAAAACCTAAATCTGATTGCCTATTACGTGGAAACTACCTATGTCTCAAAACCTGCCATGCCACTTAAAACAATGAACTGCACAGTTGCCATAACAACAGCCGGGGACTGAAGCAAGCTGAAAGTTACTGCACGTACAAAAACCAAGAACGTTCTGCTTGACCAAAAGCAACATAATACAACTATTATCACCGTTATAACGTCTAATCATAACCCCAAATGAAACTACATACTGGAACAAAAGCTAATCAATCAATTTACCAGGAAATAACAGCTAAAAATCTTAAGAAGAAAAACAGTTTAGAAAGAAAAAGAGATATAAAATAATTCTGCTGTGCATTTTTCATAGGACATAATAAGATTTTATTTTAGACTGTCACTTCCTAATATTGAAAATTATGTTGTCTTATAATACACTGGTTACTATTCATATGTACACACTTGATGTTATATCCTTGTCTCAGAGGCGACCTTCTGAATAGGCCTTCATAGGCCTCAGCTGTGTGGTTACATATGTTGGCTCCCAACAGTTGCTCTATGATATTGTGCCGCCAGGTGAAGACATTGCGCCAACCAATATATGTCCCGGGGTTCCTCATGAGAGTGTGAAGGTACTTTATCTGCCCAAAATAGAGCACTTTGATACTTTCGTTGGTCCGGGTACTGGTGGACGCGCCTCCGCAGCCGCTCCAGGTTCATGGCCGCGCGGCAGGGCTCACGCTCCCACCGCCGTTCTCTGCCGCCCCGGTCCCCGCGTCCCCGGTGTCCCCGCCCAGGCCACGCGCGCCACCCGGGCCCTTCCACCCCAGCAGGCCCCGCCCCGCCAAGAACTCTTAAAAATGCATTTGTACTTTATCGATTACAACATCTTCAGAGCATATATATTTGAAAAAATTGTAGCACAGTACATAGGTGGGAAACAAATGATTTACTGGCTGAAAAGATACTGTTTAAAGAGCGTATATGGAACTCAGACAGCTGATGCTATCTCATTTTTCTCTGAGATCCCCTCAAAAGAAGAAACTGCTCATTTAAACTGTTGGTGAAACATACAGAATTATTGAAGATTTCTTCATGTGAGACAGACAAAAAGGTTTACAACAAACATCCCACAGAAGTCACCTGTAATCCTCCTTAGGCATTTCCCTTTCCTTTCTTGAGTCATTGTCTCTTGGTGGGGTCTAGTATGTGTGTTGGGGGTGGGGGCATGCTTTCTTCAACCCCTGTCCCACACAAGACCCATTCCTGCTGGCCTTTATCCTGCTCCTCTGTTTCAAGAACAAAATAATCCCATTGCTTGAGTTGTGCAGAGCAGGTCTCTTCATCTCCATGGGCCAACTGTCAGCAGATCTAGGGCTAGGGTCTTGTCTAAGGGTCTCAGCAATATAGTGTGCCTCCCAAAATAAAAAGGATAACTTCTCCTAATTGGAGCCTGCATAATAAAATTTCCCCCCTTTGTAATAGCTCCATGTCTCTCTCTTAGCGTGCAGCCTGGGCTGGAAATCCATCCCCTAAGACAATGGCAAAATGCTAAGATTTAGATCCCTCTCCCTCTCCAGCTTTGCCTCCCAACCTAGCCCATCCCAGCTGATCACAGTGAAAGCTCAACCATCTGTAGACTGACTTCCTTCTCCCCCCAGACCAGAAGCATATGGTTGCACAAGGGATTGGTGGTTCTCACCACAGTTGCAAGTTGGATTTGAATAGCCATCTATTACCCAAAGTCAGCAAGAGTCCTATATGAGGATTGAAGTCTTCTATGACGTGAGGCCAATCAGACTTCCCACAGCTCCCTGAATATCCCTGATGAAAAGCCAATCTGCTTTCAGGCATTTGGGTACCTGGGTCTCCAGCGTATTGAGTGTCTGTACTCCCCACTCTATGACCCCTCCTCCATCTTATTCTGGCATGCTGAGGAAATCTCTATCAGAATTACCTGGAGAACAAATTGGTCTCTGAGGATTGGGTGTAGGAATCTGTTTTAAGATCCTCAGGTGATTCCTATGCACACTAAAGTTTGAGAATGAGTGACTAAATGGAGTTCAACTTTATGGTAAATTTTTAAGAAAGCTGAGGTCTGGTTAGTGAATATCAGAAATTGCTTATTTCTTTATATTTCCAAGCCCCACATATCAGAAAACTACTTTTCCAAAAATTTACCCTGCGGAACTTAAGTCAAGTTGAGAACTATGTCTCTGAAATGCTAGTAAAGTCATATGGAACTAAAAAAGTTGAAATGCACGCTTTTTGCATAGGAAATCTCACTGTTGGGCCAGACGCAGTAGCTCACACCTATAATTTCAGCACTTTGGGAGGCTGAGGTGGGAGGATTGCTTGACCCAGGAGTTTAAGACCAACCTGGGAAACATAGTGAGACTCTACAAAAAAATAAAAATAACAATAAAGAAATCTCACTGTTATCTTTTCTCCTTGGACAGAGGTATGTTATATCAGTGAGTGAACAATACATAGCTATATGTCAAAAAGACAGCACACTTCATGAATCAATAGGTTTTCTACTACTCAATGAAAATAAAAATCACAAAACTATTAATTTAGTCTTTATTGTAGCAGAAGTAAAACAAGCAAACATTCCCACAAGAGTAATATTTGACTCTCAAAAACATTAATCAGGGCTTTATTATTACCAATTTTAAAACTCAGTAAATTTTAATTCTCAGTAAAAATGTACACAATCAAGGACAAGAAAGACCATGACTTAATTATCAGGGTGGCTTTCTCAATCTTGTAAATTCATAAAACAATTATGTAATCCTCACTTTTTTTTTTTTTTTTTTTAACTATGCTTCCCTAATCTCAGTCCACAATATCTCCCAAATATTCTGAAAAATATTCTAGGTACTGAAGACAAACATGGGTTTTTCCAGGACTTCCAGGGTTTATCCAGAATGCTTCCATTCTTTTCCACTACTACTTATCTTTCAAGGAGCAAATAATGTGTGTGAAGTCCACTGGGTTAAAATCCTAGATCTGCAATCTGCAATTGTGCAATCTCTAACAAATTACTTCTCTGTCCCTCTGTTTCCTTAACTAAAATGGGATAATTAAGGTTCATATACCATAGGGCCATCATGAGAATTAAAAACTGCTTTGAATAATGTCTAGCACAAAATAGGCACTCAATAGATAATTATAGCAAGCCATCGTCATTATTTTAATCATTCTACTGCTAATTATTACATTCACTAGAGGAAAAGACTTGGACAAAGAGAAAAGAAATATAAAATATTCCATTATACCACTCAAAGTCCAGTGTGATGACAGAGAGAAACAGAGCTATATAGATAGATTGGGGGGAGATTAAGTCTGACTTAAAACAAGCCTAATTGGTTAGGACAAGTCACATCCTAAAATGGCTAAGCGCAAACTTGATAGACCAATAATTCAAATATAAATAGCAAGATGACAACTATTATAACTGTGGGGACACACAAAAAACAGATGTAAGACACTTAAGAGAACAAGTCTTGGTTTTTTTGTTTTTGTTTTTGCTTTTGTTTTGGATACTCAGATAAACATGGTGAAATATGCTAAGGGCTGAAATAGTAATATAAAAAGTAGCTGCTCCAAGAATACAGAGATAAAAGTGACCTCAAACACTTATGGGGCCCTCTACAGTTGGAGAAATTTCTAAGTGGCAAGGAGAGGGCAGGGAGCTTGCAGGTGGAGAAACAGAAAAGCAAATCCTAAACACTGTTCAAAGTCCCTTCCACCTTCTACACCCAACCCCTGAAGCAAAGCCAAAACGATATCTTACAAATGATTGCCATCCCCAACTGGGGTGAAGATGGAGTTAACCTGATGTTGTTTTGGGGAACATCTTAATTTGAATTTATGGAAGTTAGGAAGTTAAAAATTTGAAAATAAAGGGGATTTTATTTTCATAAAACTATAAAAATAAACTTTGTTTTTAACTTTTTTTTTGTTTGTTTTTAAATAGATAGTACCAAATTTTACAAGCAGAGGGAAGAAAAAAAAAGTATTCCAGACTGGGTGCAGTGGTTCACACCTATAATGCCAGCACTTTGGGAGGCCGAGGTGAGAGGATTGCCTGTTGCCAGGTTCAAGACCAACCTGGGTAACTTGGCAAGACCTCATCTCTACAATAAATTTAAAAAAAAAATAGCCAGGTGTGGTGGCGCATGCCTATAGTTCC